TGTCAAACAAAAAGCACTGGAATGAGTCAGAACCTGGGTTTTAAATCTAGATATGTGTGACCTTATGCAAGTCACTTACCCTTGCTAGGCCTTAGTTTCTTCAATGAGATACATGAGACTCAGTAATCAGCAAAAGATCACCTCAAATCAAAATAAATGATGCTATAATTTTAATGCAGGTTTGTGCATAACCTCAGTCTTCTTTACCAAACTAGTGTGTCATATCATGTGGATCACTTGTTAAAATGCAGATTCTGATTTAGTAAATCTGGGATTAAGGCTGAGATTGTGCATTTCTTTTTTTTAAATATATTTTTATTGCTTTTAGAGAGGAAGGGAGAAGGAGAGAGATAGAGAGAAACATCAATGATGAGAGTCATTGATCTGCTGCCTCCTCCATGCCCCCTACCAGGGACCTAGCCAGCAACCCAGATATGTGCCCTTGACCGGAATCCAACCTGGGACCCTTCAGTCCACAGGCCGAGGCTCTATCAACTGAACCAAACCGGCTAGGGCGAGATAGTGCATTTCTAACAAATTCTCAGGTGAGGCCATATACCACATGTTGAGTAGCAAGAGTGGAGAACACTGACCCAGCTCGAATTCTACAAATCTTGTAATTGTGAGCTTATCTGTAATCAGCCTGATATTACAAAACCAAACAAAGACACTTCAGACTCACACCTGCACTAAGTGTGTCTTGCTATTCCCTGAAACACCTGATATTAACTGACAATCCCCATCTGGTGCAGATAGAAAAAGAAAGGAATGAATAATATTGCCAGCAATAACAAGAAATTAAGAGAAGCCCAAGATAAATACAAACACACACACATATACATACATACACAAAACTCAAAGGTTAAAAATCTATCTAATCAAACATTATCTATCAAAATATGAATATTTTTATTTATGGAAAAAATATGTGTGTTTATCTCTGGAAGACTCTTTAGCATCTCATCCTACAAGCATTCTTGGGATTCAGGTTTAATCTGAATGCATACCCATTCAATATACGCATCACATAATCTAAGGATTTTTACATTAATTATAAAATAATCTTCACATATTTGCTTAGAACCTCTAATCGTATTACCATAACTAAATCGGTTTTGGTGAGAATTCTCTTCTGCTATAGGAAGTCTAATTAGGACAGGGCAGGCCAGCTGCCCTAGAGCTGTAACATATTGCCACAATGCATTGCTATAATTAAACTGTTTCTACTATTCCCTGTGCTAGGTTA